TTTTGAGCTATTTATCAAGAAATTTTTTGAATTCAGCAACAGCACGTAAATTATGCAGAAGAAAGTGATTTTTAAAGATCTCTACTTTATTTTTGTGAGCAGACAGCGTTTTTCTTGGTCTTTATTGTATTAGTTTCGTGAGGTCACAGCGTTGATTCTGTAAACAGTTTTGTTGATTGAAACTAAAAATTTAGTAAAAGTATTACGTAGTTGCCGGTACATTTCTTTGTTCAGATGTTTCTCTAAAGATAAGAAAGTTAATAGACTTCTTTTCTTTTAGCTTCACTATTATCATTATTGCCATCACTGTAACTGATAGATTTGTTATTACCATCTTGCAGTTAATATTAAGTGTTTTTTAGTTGAATTTGTTCATTGATGTCTAGTCGTTATCTCTATAATTGGTCATGAAATTTGTATTTACGGCATTTGTGGCCGTTGTTCTGTTTTGCAACTTTTTTATTTTGTTTTATCAGTGTAGCTAACTGTTGAATATATTTAGTTTGCAAGCTTATGTAAGAGTTTTTGGACTTTTGGGGCGGTTGTTCAGTAAAGTAATAGCTTCAACTAGTTTTTTCATGCCACCGAATAGTCCAAGATGTGTAAGTTTAGCGGTGGCTCAAAAATGGAGTCAGTAGCTGAATTGAAATTGAAATTGAAATAAGCTTATTTGACACGAGTTTGTTGTCCTCCTCTATTTTTATGATTGTTTGACAGAAATTAATAATTTGACTTTTAGCGTGTTTTACACGAGGTAATCACAGTTGTTGTACCATTTCGCATCCATACTTGTTTTGCGAGGCTCTTTACAGGACTTTTATAGTTTTAGGGGTGGTAAGTGGGAATGCACTTGTAAAACACGATTGGCAAAACTTCAAAAAAGGTCTTTCTCAGTATTATTCCCCAAAAATACATTTCTGAAAAAAGACTTCTCAAGAAATTCCAGAAAATCAAAAGAGTGAAACTTGAAGTATAACTCACCATCAATGGGAAGTACTTTGCACACATACAGACAAAAAAGTACGTTTCTTATTTGACAACTTTCTCAGAGTACAGACTCACTTAACCTTTTTAGGCGTTCGTGAAATCTATCAAGAATGAAAGCATCACAGTTTCTTATGATGGAGATTCGGCACATACGGAAGAGGTACATTTAAACACTTTAATCAATTTGGATCTCTGCTAAAGCCACTTTTATTCTAAGTCGCCTATTCGTGTTCGTGTACTCCAAAGATTTCTCGATGGGGAGAAAATGGAGTATTATGCTTTTTATTTTTAAAACTTTTTTTTTTTTTTT